AATTAAACATTGATTACTTATTTGACATATTTTTCGTGTTGTACTTTGTGATATGTTACCGCACTATTTTCTGAAACTGAACAGCTGACATGAGGTCACAGTTTTTGCTCCCGGCCAACCCAGCTGGGAGGCCTCCAACAGGGTACGCAAAATGAACAAGTGATGTCTTAAAAAAGAAAATATGTAAATATAAAAAATAACTGGTTGTCTGGATGTAATTATTGTTGATATAATTACATCCAGACAACCAGTTATTGTTAAAATATTTGTTTATTGCATCAAATTAAACCCATTTAGAAAACTTGTTTGACTTAACTTTGCTTTATTTGTTTTGTATATCGAAGTATTACATGGTTTGGTTGAACCTCGAACTCCACTGATGTACCATAAAATACCTTCACAACTCATTTTTCGTAGATGAATATACCAGACAATGCATTATCCAACTACAATGTCATGAGTACTGCAGGTGTCGTTATAGATATTCAACATCAATGAATGCATACCTTTCAATATCTACATGTTCGGTTCAAAACTTCATCTTATTTCAGACTGTACTGATGGATTATACGGACCAGTCATGTTGGCTGTAGTAGTATTACATTCGACAAAACGTCAGGAAATTGTGTTTATAAGTACATTATCAACCACAGAAAGCCACTGAGATACTTGCAAGGTTAAATATGGTATTTATTCAACTTTGTCGGATATTTACGATTTGATGATTATCGAACGTTGCCTTTCCAACAGCGTACACTGTTTGGATGAGGGATTGACAATGTTACATTACTAATAAAATGTGCCCTTTTTAGAAAGATTAACAATCATATAATGCTGAATTGATTACTATAGATAAGAAATGTTCATCAGATTATAACACAGTTACGGAGTTAAAGCGTTACTTGTCAATAGATAATTAGTCAATAGGTAAACATAACGAAATGCATAAAGTTAATGCGAAAAGTTAACTGTTAAGGGACCCGTTAAAGCCTGGACAATACTTCGTTCGTGAATTACAGTACTCAATTTAAAAGACAATACCTACAGTGTTGAGACAGTATGACATTAAATGAATGTATATACGAACTCCCCGTGGTAGAACCTATAAGTATGTTTAAGTAGTCTATGATAATAACCATCCCCTCTCAGTACGCTGAGATACGTTAAGATAACAAGCGTCAAGCTTGCCCTTACGTTCCCTACGGTGGATGTAATACTTTCAGTACAACGGTAGCACTGCTGTCAGCGCCTGAGTAAAGAGGGTTTCCCGTCCTAGTATAGCCGGTTTTCTGGCCACGCAAGCCACTTATTTTGCCTGCGCATCCCCTTTTATACCCCACACTCCTGGACCTCTGTAACGTTTAACCCTAACCCTAAGTTGCTTTACTTCAAAATGGAAAGCAGTGCATGGGGCACATAGTTGTGTAATACAAAAATGTTTGAAGTACTGTGTTTGGTTAAAATTATCGTTACTGTATTCAACCTGATTTTATAAACATGTCCTTAAAAGTACTCTGTGCCTTGCTAAGGCTTATCACGTTTATCCGTTAATCTCTTTACCAACCATTCCACTGTCGCAAATGCCACATGCTTTCTATTTAGTATTTATCTTCATACTTTTGATTTGGTTTTTGTTCTTGGTTCAGCATTTGTCATTCAGTCAATCTGTTAGTCAGGGAGTATGTAAACTTCGTAACCGGTATTTCACAGAAACGACATGATGAGACTGTCACCCTGGTACACAACACTAACTGCTTAATTTATCTTTCGATTAGACCAGTAGATAGTCAACTGGATGTTCCGGGTTCGACCTCTATGGTAAAGACATTTAAAAATGACATCATTTACATAGGCATGCATGATCCATTTGGCTAATAGTTGTTAATTCTTCTATATGAGATGGATTGGAAAAATACAGAGGCCACCTGGAAGCTATTAAGGATTTTGAACGTCAAATATAATTTGTATGATTATTTCACAAGAACAAGAATCATAGAAGGATTACGAGGAAAACATGTACAAATCCCCGTAGTCCCAAGTTGTGTTTGCCTTAAATCAAGGCAATTCGGCGGGAAAATGGCCACACGGCTACTATGTGTTTTGTTGGAATTTTTAATGTAAAAGATTTGTACAACTATTTCATGAAAACTACTGCAGGGATCATGTAGTTCATGTTGTTCAAAATTTTGCCTGTTTTGGTTTGAGATGGATAAGAACTCGCAAAATGCCATTATCATCTACCATTTTGCATGTTAAGTTTGTTATTGCTTTTGACATTTGGAAGTCTTAAATCCCCATAGATCCTGTTCAAATTAGAGTTGATGCCAAAAAAGCTCAATCACTACCTACATATACAGTTTATTACTTCTATTTCTTGCTCCTTAAAATATATTGTGCACCTTTTTTAACTTACTTATTCTTGTTTGTATACATTTGTTGATTTGTAATGCAACAACTAAAACAGCATATTTTCTTTGATTTATGCTTAAAACAGCACTTCCTCTATTTCTCAATACGTTGAGGCACTTGGCAGCATATGCTCAACTGACATAAGCATAGCCGTTTAACGTTTGTTTTGCCAGAACCCCTTACAAAACTGATACACAACTGATCGTTTTTTATGTACCAATACAGAAATATATTGAATGAGATATAGACAATATGTAAGAGAAGATGCAAAAAATTTCACTTATTGACACAGATATTACCTCCATACTAAGGTTATATGTTTTCAATTCCATCATAAATACACCTCTAGCGACCTTTTCAAGTTCAATATCTTTCAAAATATGTATATAACTTATATGGCTAATATCACGGCTATGTACACATGTTGTGCCAAATCAAACTTACACCTGATATCAATAGCACATAGGTCTGAGAATGTCAAATTATATATCACTGGTCAATATCGATACGAATAATCAACATAGATCATAAACATACATTTTAGCGCATATTATACCAAAGCAAACTTCTGGATATTGAAAGTCAATTCACAGGTTAGAAAAGGTCAACTGATTATCAATATGATACATATTTTTCATTTCGCATCTATTGTCCGAACAAATTTATAGCAAAGGTCAAATTACACATAAGGTTATTTATCTAGGGATTATTATTAATAAGGACAGTATAACATGCATTACACTTGCACATATTGTCTTAAAAATAAGCAATAGGTCGGATTGATGATAACTGCCAATCAGCAATTCATTTCATTTTCACATCCTATAGACCAAAACAAGCCAACGGTCAATATTTGGGTCAGCAAACGTCAAAGGTCATTTCGATAATTCCAATCAAATACGATGATTCCTGTTAGACTTGTAGATTTTACAACAAAGGACAATATGTATGGGTCACCAACGGTCATAGATCAGTATAATAACATGTATAGTAATAATAATATCCATATGAATTACTTTTTAATCAATGAAACCAATAGTCAATATATCTCCCTTAACTAGAGCTTTGAAATACCCTGTGACTACACTGGTGACCGCGCTTATCAGCTACACCTAAAGAACTGGCGTATGTGCTAAATACACATAAATTTAAGCCTGACCTTTTCAGGGATTTAACTGAACTTTTAACGAAAGTTACCAGGGTAAGCTCATGCACGTAGTCACCTTTCTCAATAGGCAAAACGATTACATTTCTTATCTGACAGATATAATATCTGCTTAGGGTTCAGGCTTCACGCCATAAACACGCTTTATACAGAACAATACCGACACAGAAACATTAGCAGTACTAAATTGAACATGCATTGTATATGACTTAGACTGGTACAAGGCTGCAATATGTTACACACATATCCCTTTACAACATCACCCTTTTTAGTTTATAAATAAAGAGCCATTCCAATGAAGACATAGCGCGGTGTGTAGTTCGCTAAGTTACATGCAGTCACGTCTGGAGAGCACATTACAATGATATCCCCACCGACATGTGATTACGGACGTCACGCTATATATAAATGTATCAATTGTGCAACACTCAGCTGTTTAGGTGATATGTGCTATGTATATGACAATTGTTTTTTATTGTCGTCTACGTTATATACTAGGTCATCTCTAAAAAAAAAAAAAAAAAAAAAGAAAGACATGTTTTATTTGTATTTGTTTCTTTTAAAGGAATAATCTTCATACAATAATTAACAGGTGTTTTTTTTATTAAAACTATCAGTTATGGCGAACGTGCGTATTAGATGTGCACCCCTCCTTTCGATTTAATAGATAATCTGTTTCAAGTGTCGTAATGGCTTATTCTAAATCATGCATAAAACAATACCACAACAATATGATGAACATAATTATTTTCACTACTACAGTAGGACCCCATTTCTTCCATCGGATTAAGAGTTACAGATGTGCAATAATCTAAGATGTCAACATAAACATATGAAGGTGTCGCAATAACGTGTTCGTTATGTCGATACATTATCACATTTACCAAGATAACTTTGACTAAATATATATCACGTAGGTAGGTAACTCGGTGTTCAATCCTGTTATGCTAGGTTTGATATCGACTTGCCACTTGTTGATGTTTTATATAAATAATGTTAGTAAACAAATATTTTTCCGAGAGAAATTATCATGCGATGTGCTAGTTAGGACTGATCATCAATATGCCTCGTTTTGGGTTTCGTAAGTGGATTACATAGCGGGGACACTTTTCGGTCTGAAAATATAATACACTTTAATTTAAATTTAAATAATGTTAATGATGAATTAACTTTCTTGCCAATAAAACCCGTCGGTTAATGATCAGAATGTACCTCATGCCTACGACATATACAGTCTTTGTCAGTAGAAAAAATTGTCAAAGAAAGTTTAGACATGTGCTCATACTAAAGAACTAGATAAAAAATACTGACAAAAAATAACGTTATCGAATGGCTGTTCAATTTGATAGATTAGTAAATAAGACTATTTACTTCCTTATTGGATAGTTGTGCGCTTGCGATATAGCAGACATAAAGCACCCGTCTTATACGATACGCAGTATATGTAGAATGGAGGTGTGTACTATTTGGCTGCTGGAGTTTTTGTGTCTCTTTTCAACTTTAAAGATTGTCAACACATCAGGTAGGATTGGATGTACACTTTCTGTTTATCCTTCATTCTGATAATAAACCTATACGTCGCGTTGATCTGGACCTACATGTCATAGCATAATCCTTACGTGTTTTACCATGGACACATTGCCGACACACCAGGTAGGGGTAATTATACAGCCTGTACCTGAGGTTCATGTTTCAAACTTCCGCGTTGCACAGTTGCTGTGACAAAATATCAAACGATATGCATTTATTTCAGGATACGTACATATATAAACAGCACATTGACAATATACTAGCTATGTTTTAAATATTGCCTTACAATGGTGATTTGTGGCTACTGTTCTTTCTATTGTATTTACATTGGTAGGGCGATTGATATGATTAACAACACTGTCCGCCAGCCAATGGTAATAAAACATTAGTCTTTCATAATCGGTATGAACTTATAAAATCCACCTACACCTTACATGTATACATTTGCCGAGGGGCTTATGTCTTTATATATAAGTAGTATGTTATTATATCTATTTTGTGTTAACGTAACGTATGTGTTTTGTGTTTAAACGTGTGTATTTGACGACTTCAAAATGTCTACATTGCTGGATTTACTTCCTTGTTCCAAAGGTCTCATTAGTAATAACGACAGTAGGATCAAGTTTGGACACTGGATCCGCACAAACAAATGTTGATTGGATGTGTATTACTTAACTATATGTGGGCAAAGAAGAAATAACGGCAGTTCAGACAAAGACAGCTTTCAATCATTCAGTGCGATCCGCCCTTGTTTGAAGACAGAAACATGAATATTTACATATCACAAAATAAAACATAGATCAGCAGTCACTTTGAGACAGTTATACAACATGAACACATAATCAAAAGCACAGTAGTTTCTTATATGAAAGATGCTGGTAAACTACACAGTATTCCCTCTGTAAGCTTGAAACAGAAAGCTAATCATTGTACACAGTTCATCTTGAATACGCGAGGTCAAGTAAATTTATACAAATTATTGAGAGAAATATATGTTGAAATTGTTGGCGTAAACACGTCTCCCCTGTCGAGATTACCATTGCCACTCTGTATTTATATCTCCTGTTAAATTGATTAAATGTAACTATCTGGAAATCAAATACAATTAACATGAACTGGTTATCATATCATTTTTTATTTCTTATCTTTATTCATTTTTTGTGTCAATGGGCAAAGCTTTTTCGTGAAAGACATTGTCTATGAATTCGTTATGGCGGTTTTTTGTGTCGACGAAATTGTTTGTGATGAGTTATTTTGGTAGACGATATAGCTATTCAGATATAATCTTCTTACTTACTTATACCATGAAAATCTTATTTACAACCATTCGATGGTAACGTTTTGTTGATCCGGTCATATTTTTCCATATTTCCAATCTTTGACCTCAGTTTACTACCTAGTTGATTGACAGTGACCTCGTCTGTCATTTTTTTTATTTACACAGACATTTCGTCTTTCGCAGTTTTCTTCACGTTGTGCTTACACGAACAGCTGTGGCTATATATTTTCTCACATGCTGCATTATTTTTTTTTCTATTTATTTACCAGATCTCACGTCTTCAAAATGACTTTTTAACCTTAATTAACCTTTGGTTACAAGCTATCTAAGAGCATATGCATTGACATAAGCATATTTCATAATTAAAAATAAAGATAAAAACGCTTTTGTTATTTTAAATGACATTATTTAGTAACATGGGCATTTGATTATGAACATAAAGCGGTGAAAAAACCCGGTCAATTATTGATGTCCGGTTGTTTTAAAGATAATCATAAAGGGAAAAAAATTGCAGTTTCAATAAATTGTCTAACATCACATAACAAATTGGTCAACAAATCTAATCATCACTATAATCACAAAGTCCTGATTTTGTTCCCCAATTACTTTGTTGGTTTATTTGATACATTTTTATATAATATAAATACCCATTCCCCATTAATATCTGCTGATCATTTGTGTCTTTTAATACTTGATTTTATCATCAATAAATTCATGTATTGATGACCATGGAACGCTGAGAATGGTGACAATGATTATAACTTTAGATCAGTAATATATGCAATAATGTTTATTTTGTTACAGTTAACACCAGCCGTGAGCCAAGTGTCAAAATCACCACACAAAGTTCGAACTACAGTGCTGCATATCTTAGTGGTAAGGCAGTAGATGGTTGTAGAAAACAAATCTTCGACAACGACAATTGTTGTTCACATACAAAAGGAGGTGAAAACGAGGCATGGTGGCAAGTAGATCTAGAGGGACTGGTCGTTATGGAATACGTCAAAATATATTACAGAGGTGAGTAATCAAATCAACAATACAATTATATATATAATATTTCAGTAACTTTAGACGGTACTGTAGTGTCTAAATGCATATCGGTTAAGGCTACTTATGTAACCATATCCTTTCTTAATGCTATTTTCTTTCGGTGGTTTCTACTAGTTATTACCAAATTTGTTTGTTACGAGGTCGGTAAATCCGGAGTTAAAACGAAATCTGTTAAAATATTCACAATCAAACTTTTTTTTAAAAACTAAGTTTACAGGGACATCTGGTTTTAGATATAAATATTGCACAAACAAAATGGTTACATTTGTAGGCCTACACCAAGAATGGCATAAACAGGATGACATCATACGACATAACAATACAGAAAGCCCAATGTATTGTACATATAATTCATATAACGTTTACAATAAATTTGTCAATAGATGAGTTGTAAGTTGTTCGATGTTTTTGTAATGCTTTCCATCAACTCTATATTCATGACTAATGAGTCTTCGGTCCAACAGGTTGTATCTCCACACAAGAATAGTGGGAATAGTGGTATTGTAAAACTCAAGTTTTTCTGTGTATACGTAAACACACGACACTGGTCGATAAATGTGTATGTAATTCTGCCCATGTACCTGTATGGATAGGTTGTGCGATAAAGTGACTCTTTGTTAGACACAAGTTAATAAAGAAATATAACTGATGATAATAACCAGCAAATATCCAATGAATCCTCCCTTTATATGCTCTGGTGTGATATACCAATTTAATGTAACGTTACAAAAACATTACCGATAGAGGGTTAACTATGTTTTTCATTTAGATAAATAGACCTAGTTATTACCTTGTCTAAAGAATTCAGAAAAAAAAAACTGAAAAAAAATCTGTATTTTTGGGAAACATTTTGTAACTCAATATCATTTCAACGAATGTTTACTAAATGTAAATTATACTCTATTTTTTTTTTTTTTTTTTTTTTTCTTCATTGAGAAAATACATTTTTTTCTAGATACTTTAATTCAATCAACACGATTCCCGGATTCTCTTTGCATAACTATTGCATTGTTTTGCCAATGCTTGTAGCTCTTATCTTACCATACACACGTGTTTTTTTCTCCTGTAGTGTATGTTTTTGTTAAGAGTTTCACGTTTTCTAGAGAGCCAATGACACATACATACACTGTTCACAGATGATGCGTTCACTTTAGGATGACCGTATTACACACACTAGTCATTAGCGTTTTTCGCCAAATGGTGAAAAGCCTATCGTTTTTGTTGTTTCCTATTTTACTTATGTTTATTATTCTAACATGATTTTGTGGCCACCTACTCTTTTTTTGTTGGTAGCAGGTTTTCAGATGTGTTTATAGGCTTTCGGATATGTTGTAGGTCATTGTCAGAAGGCATACACTGCATTATTGAGGCAACATTTCCATTGGTTCAAAATCCATTATGGCCGCCATTACTTCAAAACTATTGATTATACAGCATTCCTGCATTTGTATAATTTGTAGATAATGTTCGGGGCCAACTGTTTTCTCGTTGCATGTGAATCGATTTTGTCACAATTTTTTCAACTTTTCAACTTTGGTTTGCAATCTGGTTTGTGGAAAAAATTTGAAAACAATTATCTTTAAAGGTCACATCGGAAAAATGATTAAAACAGATGTTTTTTTTTTTAAACCATACTTTTTTAAAACGGTTGTAGGCATTTACATTATATTTTGATCTGATTTCGATTTCGAGGATGCCAGTGCACATATTTTTCCCAGGTAACATTTTGTGTAAAAGTCATTTTTTTTTTAAAAAATACAATAAAGATACGAACAGGTTTGTGATCAGAGACCAAATCAAACATAATAATGAGAACCCGTCGAATTGTTACTACAAAGTAATAACTTCTAGTTAGGAAGTATTATTATCCGGCAATGTCAAAACAAGAACAAGGTAGAATGACATTCCACGGTTCGGTTTGGTTTTTTGTGTTTTACATCCTTTTAACAGTTATGGTCAGTTAAGAACGTGCCAGTTTTTGTTTATGGTGGACGAAGCCGGAGTTCCCGGAGAAAAAAAACCGACCTACGGCCAGTACATGGCAACTTCCCCACGTAGGTCTCGAACCCGCGACCCAGTGGTTGAGGGCTAGTGGTAGAAGAATGTCAGACGCCTTAGCCGCTTGGCCACCGCGGCCCCGTTACATTTCCGGGTTACATTATACTAAGAATGGACTTACGCTGGGTAAACATCGTCCTTTGCATGGCGATAGCGTACTTGATTTACAAGTGTTCCCTTAATGTGAATGAGAGGTAGCAGAGCAAATCGGATGTGGGGTAAGAATATAGTTGGGGAGATGGATGAGTAGGAGAAAGACTGAACAGTTATACATTTTTTTTTTCATTTTTGTTAGGGGAGGGGTGGGGGTGCATTTTAAGACCAGCAATTGAACCGCCACATTTCTCAGTAAGAATCAGTTTTATGACTTAGGTCCGTCCCGGCCTGGTGACTTGCTCAAAACAGCAAAAAGGTAAAAGAAATAAAAAATCCTTTATTCATCAGGAGTTTCTGCATCAGTCGCCTGTTACTGAACATTAAGTTGTTAACAGCAGGCATGTACCTTTTTTTTAATCACCGACCTGTGTTAAAGAAGAACAATGAAAAGTGTAAAATGATTCAATGTTAACAAACACAATCCGCATTTTTCTTGAGCGAATTTTCCGGGTGAAAATAGCGTGAATTCAAGACTTTGAACAGAATATAAGTATAAGCTCTAGTGGAGAATCTTGTTTATCCAATTAAGATCAAGGGGATGAGCAAAAACAACGATTTGGTGGCTATCAAATATACCAGTCGAACACGTCGGATTGGTGGAACGGTTACCTTTGCCATAATGACACAACATCAACGTCGGCCGATTTGTCATTGACTCCCAAGATCAATTGCACAGGTAGCGCCCAGTACCTAACGATATACAGCGACAGAAGGTCAAGGGGTCTAACGTGGTACTCTCCAAATGCTTTTCTGGAGCTTTGCGAGGTGGAAGTTTACGGTACGTAAATTTAATATTTAACGTTACGAAATTGTGTTATTCTTGTGTGTATTTGACTTTGTTTGTGTTCACACAAATCGATAAAAAAAACTTATTTTTGCTAATGGTTGAAAGGATAATGGAACTTTAAGAACTCGTATTCTAGATCAGGATGAATATTCATCAAGATCCCTATATAAGAAATAAGGATTACTATGCTTACAACGTTGCAATTCACTTAAATATCAGTGGTATTATTTGTGTTTAATTATAGACTTGATATCTTCTATTTCAGTAAGTAATGTTTAACATTCGTTATATCATATGACTTCGCGTATCGGCGCATTACAATATTTTGTTGCAATTATGAAGTAAGTAATGTTTTTGTGCAACATTATAAGGTTACAGATGATGTTACACGATAAGGAATGTGTACAGTCATTGAATCTGTCCGACAATAGAACAATTGAAATTGGTTAAATATGTTTTAGCATGTTTTTAATGCAAACAGATGTGCTTATTACACAAACTTATATGCTTATATATTTCAGGTTGTCCACTAGGGAAATATGGTGATGCTAATTGTGATACAGATTGTGATGTAAGGTGTGCCAACAGCCTGTGTGATCCAGTGACCGGAAAATGTGCATGTAATCATATATATCTTAAGATATTAATACCCAATGGAACATAGAAATACAACATGCCATTTGCTTGTTAAACGAGGGAAAACAAATCAGTTTATCATTCATGTTTTTATTAACTAGAATCATTATGATAAACGTATTTAAGTACATGTATAAGAAAAAAGTGTACAGCGTCACCATAACCTTATTCAAAATGTGGTGTTTTGTGTTTGCTTTGGCGTCGGATAGGCTTTCGGTACAGTGCTGTCCTATCATAATAACTTTATTATAACATTATTATTACATTTACATTATAATATTTTCCCATTCGAGTGAATCAACATATGAAAAGCAGTCTTCAATTTAGTTTTCTACGTATAGTATAAATCCCCTATAAAATGTTAAAATATTTTTGGACAATGCATCTAGTAAATATATACATAGTGTACATGTTTTATTAAATTTTGATTTGTGCTGATGGATACTTTCGGTCTGGATCTTTATGCATAAAATGCCCCTTCAAATTGTTATGATAACGCATGCAATGTAGAATCCGGTGTTTGTTCCGGTAAGTGATTCGTTGTATTTCAGTTTAAATCTCCAGTCATATGATTTTATTTTTTTTTTTTTTTTTTACATTTTGTGTTGATATACTTTCTTGTTATAATATATATTGCATTCGATGTTGGGACAAAAATACATTTTAATTGTATAATGATACGAATTATAAGGTATTTGTTGCAAATATATATTAATCAACTTAATGATATAATGTTATGAATACATTCTTTCATCATAAATTGATAAGATTCGGTTCACAATACACAATTTATCTTGCTTAGTGTTATTTCGAAATGTACATGTATCGAATACCATTGAGTACAGTAAAATTATCATAAATGACATAAGGTAAGGGAAAGGTAACTTCTTACCGTTTTGTTTCGTATTCTGACATTACTATGGCAGTCATTGTAATGTGACCTGCACGTTCAACTGTAAAGACAACCGATGCATGCAAAGCAATGGAGAATGTTAATGTATGTATCAGTGTAAAATATGGAAAATGTGTATAGAATTGTTTTATATAAGGATTAGTTAGGGAATTATTTATTATTCATATATTGTAATTGGTATGTTAACATAGACAATGCAGATCAGTTTTGCATAAAAATAACTCCACGTTACTGACAAATATCCTATTTTAATATGTTTATGACGTCTAATGAATGAAAATCAAAAGGATATGCAAATTATAATCATGGGTTAGAATCTGCAGGCCTACAATTAAGGGGGGGGGGACATATATAGCTCACAGCAATTGTCGTTTTCGTAGGTTTTCGGTACAATTAGCTTAATCTCTGCGAATCAAGATCTGCAATCTGGAACGTGATACAATATGTAGAAAGAAAAATAGTATGACATAACAACACATGCCGGTGGTAGTACGCAAAAACACTTCACAGCACGTTTGTTAGATACCGTATCAGGTCAGATTATGATTTGGTGATGGTATATTACCCGATCATCAAACTGAAAATCAAATTATATCAAATTGAGGTAACATTGCGTTGAAAAAACAAGAGGGTACATAATACATGTTTAACATGCATACAATACATGGTTGTTCCATGTGATAGATTTAATTTGTATATTGATATGTTGGTGAAATGTCAAAATGAAACTAAATACAGTTCTTTTTCATTTTGGAATGACCAGACTGTGAGGATGGATTCTTCGGATCGTCCTGTGATAACTGCTCTGTTGGTTGTACCAATCGTTCCTGTGACAAAATATCCGGAAATTGTAGTCGTAAGTATGTAACAAAGAGCACCAGATCTACTCACTAATGACTTATATTTCAATATATTTCATTATCTATTTTCCCGAGTTAACAATTGGTGCTTCAATTGTCAATAAACTGATATTGTCCGTATATATAATTTTTATTTTCGTATTCATCATTAGATTAAATTGCAAGCAACATAAACGTTCAACTGTTTTAGAAGTATATATGATATATGTTATTTCTTCAAATGTCAAAAATAAATTAAAGTCGAAACAGACATACTCACATGCCGTCTGTTATGTTTCTTTCACACCTTAGTAACGGATGACTTTCTAACTTTTAAAGATAACNGGGATTACCATGTCCTGAAATCAAATTTGTTTTAAAAAAGTATCCTATGTTTAACTGTTGTTATCATTTTTGAATAGATATGAATTCTGAAATCATTCATCAGGAATGTGCTGATTTAACATTTATTTTGTGTGCAGAATGCCTACATTTACATTATGATCTATAAACCTATTGGATTTTTGAGATAAGCAAACGGCTAACCTGATTAGGAATGATTACATTCTTTTATTATAAACTGATAAGAGTCGGTTCACAATGAACACATTTCGAAATATACATGTATCGAGCACCATTGAGTACAATCACATTCTCAGTGCCAATAAAAAGTACATTGTAGATAAAGAAAATCAATCTTCTTACCCTTGTTCTTGGATTCTGACTTGTTCTTTGTGATTTTCCGTTAAAGCGTGTACTCCCGGGTATTATGGCAGCTATTGCAATCAGACCTGTTTGTTCAACTGTAAAGACAACCGATGTATGCAAATCAATGGAAAGTGTGAAGGTATGTATCGGTGTAAAGTATGAAAAACAAGTATAGAAATGTGATATTCATCTATATTATTTGGAATGCTAATGCAGATTAAATTTGCATATAACCAACTCCAATTACTGACACAGATCCTAACGATTATAATGTGTAGTAAATGAAGATTTAAAGGATATGGAAAGTATACTAATGGTGTAGAATGATTCATATAGCTCAAACATGCATAGTTTTTATTTTTTATTTAATAGGTATGTTTTAGGTAAAACTAAGATGATTTTTGTGAATATAGATAGCAAATCTAGAACATATGATAACATATGTAGAAAGAGCAAACAGCCGACATATTGTATGACATAAAAACACATTCCGGTAATAGTAGGCAACAATAATAACAACATGTTTGCTAATTATCAGGTGTGATGCTAATTTAGTGATGGCATATTTCCCGATCATTAAAATGAAAATGTATTAAATCAAATTGAGGCAACATTACTTTGCAGAACAGAGAATTATGAATATCTGTTTGACATGCATTCAATACATGGTTGTCCCATATGTGATAGGTTTGTACTATATGAAAATAATAAAAAAAAAAATTCTATTTTGCAATGGCCAGATTGTGAGGATGGATTCTTCGGATCGTCCTGTGATAGCTGTTCTGATAGTTGTGCCAGTTCAGTCTGTAACAAAACATCCGGAAACTGTAGTCGTAAGTATTTGAGAAAAAGCACAGTATTAACTCACTGATGATGTTATTTCAATATATTTCATAATCTATTTTCCTGAGTTAAAATGGGCGATGCAATTGTCAATGCAATCATCTTGTCAGTATATTGTTGCTTATTGTCGTCGTCATTGTTAGTTTTAATTGCTATAAAGAAAACCGAGACAAATGTTTTAAAGAGTATAAGAAGATATCGGTCATTTGCGCTGTTACTGGATTGTTGTTAATATTAAAAATAAATCAAGCGAAAATATATAATTCATTATAAAACGAGTTAAAAAAAACCACTTATTAACTAGCCCATCATTATTTTTAGACATCCTTCTTTAATGTGAACGATAACATGCTTTTTTAGTATTCTTCTTCTTTTTGTACACTGCATATGTGTGCATTAAGCTCTAGAAACCCTCACGGAAGGGGCCGCGTGGTTAAAGCGTAAACTATTCTGCTACCACTAACCCTCCAACAGTGGGTCGCGGGTTCGAGACCTGCGTAGGGCAGTCGCCAGGTACTGCCGTAGGTCGGTGTTTTTTTTTCTCCTGGAACTCCGGCTTTCTTGCACCACCAAAACCTGGTACGTCCATAGCTGCTAACGGGACGTTAAACACATACTAACCAAACTCTAGAAACACAATTGAATTTTGAGATATGTATTCGTAGAATATACAGAATATGGGAAAGGCTAACCTGAATAGGTACGTGGAAATAAGTGACCTGATTCATCCAAATGCATGTCGTACGATGCGTCTAGTGTGGATCCTTTTCCATGATCAATGACTGATTTGAGCGCAATTTATGGATATGTGTTCAAATTTAACAGATGATTGGTAATAATTATTTCCTATATTTCATATCAATTTACATTTTATACTAGTGATATATAATTTATAATTATTACCAAGGTATAGGACGATAATAGAAGATGTCTAAACAATAGCATGTCAATATCTGTTCCCATGATCCGTTTTACCTCCAATTATGCTGTTGTTATCCGGTCTGCATCCTTATTCATACCTGCCTATTTCCCTACCCCTGCCTCCCTCACCATAAAAATGTTCATTCACCCACGCTTAGGTCAAACCGTTACAACATTTTCGTATTCAATATTTCGCATCTGGACATTTATAACGATTGAAATTAAAAATATAAGTTTGGGCTTCACATATTTGTACACTTTCAGCTTGCTTGAACGGCTTCTATGGGATGAAGTGTGATCGATTATGTTCCTCTAGCTGTGAAAACAACATATGCACACAATATGAAGGGAAATGTACAGGTATGATAACTTTGTAATTGGAATTAATTTTGAGGTATTGTTTAATATCTTTGCATTTATAATAAAATTGTTCCATGTAAGGGCAAGAAAATGATGTAAGACATTTCTTAAAATCAAATAAGAGGTATTTATATTTTCGTTTTGTATACTCAAAGTTATGTGGTTTTTGATATGTTTGACTAGATTTTGAAATACTTAAAGATAGACACAAGACTATTGTATCTTCATTTTAAGAGAGTTATATGTAAAATGTAATGTATAAAATATTATACATGTATATGCTATGCTCAAGCCTGTGTCTCTTTTTAATAAAGTCTGGATTGAACTTATCCCTTATCTATCCTTTTTGTAAAGTTAGCAATGTATGTATTTAACCTCAAATGACTGTCTATGTTTTTTATGTAAGCATGCAAACCTGGATATTATCGTGATATCTGCAACACAAGCTGCCCGTCCAATTGTAAAAGGGATAAATGCAATCAGACCAGTGGGTTATGCACAGGTATGGTGATATGTCATGGTACAGACGAAGATACAATAGTCAAATAATATCATTAGCTTACCGTTTATTAGTTTGAATTATCAAATGGGCCCTCAAACAAAACAGGGATTTTATTCTCAAAACCAAGGCTCTCTATTCTCTACCGCGAAAGTTACTGTTACATCGATGTTTTGCTGCATTAAGCATACGTTTTGAGTATATATAGGTTTACGAATAACCGCTTGGAACGTTTTCCTTTGAAAATATGATTCAACAAAGCCGAGGAAAACTTCGATGATTTTCTCGTTTTTTTAGTGTAATGTTCATTAATCGTCAAGCATTTAATGGTGATCGAAAATGGTGTACAATCATAACGAAACGTTGTTTCGTAACGTTTCGTTTTAAACGAAAACTTTCGACGACATCTCAATAGCTTTTTTGGTCTTTAAATCCCGAATATTGCTTGACCAGATATATACTATTTGAGGCAGTTGTAATGTATTCAGAAAAAAAAACAATATAATTTTGTGTATATATTCTTACATAGATGTAATACAGTTGTGTGACCGTACAATGCAACAAAAAAAAGCGTGCGCACATCGTGCATACATCGTGTACACACCGTCTGCACATCGTCCTCACATGGTTCGTACAACTGTGCAATTTAACAATCGTTCGCCTCGTTGTGCGCTTCTCTCCGTACAGATGTACGATTTGGTACAATTGGTTGATCAATAATACGGAACAATAAATATCCGGAACCCTCATATGGATTAAGGAACACTGTATATAAATTTAAATTGAATTAGGATTTTAATTTTACAATGCCTGTTATACTGCATTACAGTGACTATTAGACTGTGAAGAATGTGTTTAGCTCCCAGGTAACAGAATAGGTAAATAACATATTGATGATTAACCGGACTTTCACCTGGCCTGTGCCTGACACAGAGAGCTGATATATGATACCGTATGACACAACTGGGCGTTTAGTATTTGTTATTTGCATTCGTCGTAGTACACCGGGTGGGGAAATCTAGGGTTTAATTACAGGTACAATATGGCTATGTTTACCTGTATACGTGACCGAGACGATATGTGTTATGTTATATGTGTCGATTTGGGTCGTTAAAAAAACACCGAAAACACCATTTTCAGATTAAAGAAAATATAGATAAATATAGAAAGGTCAGCTGACATATGTAGCTTGAATAAAGATTTCCCTGGAAGTAAAGATAAAATTGACTGATACAGAATATGTTGAGATGAACCAATTGTTGCGTAGAATATTACGTTTTTGAAACGTGGTTTTTCGTTTCGGCATAGTAAACATATAGAGTAATTGAATTTGAGGTATAGCAAACCTAGGTCTCAATTTAGTAGAAATTTGATATTAAACTTCAAGATTTTTTTCTTTAAATGTGAATTATTAGCACACAGATTACATAAACCAAATAACAAATATATAGAGGTTACACACGAGTGGTTGTTGATTATGGTATTTATTTCACTCGAGTTAGTTAATTTTTAAAAGTTACAAAAGACACTATCTTTAGCGAGTGTCTTTCTGTAACTTTTGAAAATTAACTAACGAGAGTGATATACATACCATACTCAACAACCACGGGTCGTGTGATCTGTTTATACCACAATCTCAGTCTGAAACAGCTGGAGTATTTACCGATTTGAATAGCATACTGTACACACATTTTGTTGAGAAGGCTGGCGTAGTGATATGACCCGTATGTAAAAAGTCACTCATTAATATTCAAAAATGACTTTTATTTTTACAAATTTAATTATTTTCAAAATAAACGTCTCGGCAACAACTTCGTGAAAAAATAAAATAGATGAACGACTCTAAATATTGAGAGTATGCAATGTTGCATTAATTTCTATAAATTAACCACGGACTATATGAGCGTAAGCATATCGTACGAAGTCTGCTTCCCACCAAGTGATGAAGACGAACTAATCGCTGTCAATGTTCAAAACCATAGGCCTGGGACGTTTCTTCGTGAGGTTCTATGGTTGACGTTTATAGTGAGAGTTCCGCCATAGACAGACCCTCTAAATATTGATAACGGGACATGGAGGGAACGAAATATTTTCCGACAATGTTACAGAACTTGTTTTGGTTTCACAGAGACACATATATTACGTCTCTGGGTTTTACGACCTGCACACGCGACGGCATGGCGTCGAAACGATAACGACGTCTGTAGCAATTTTGCCTGAAACTAGCGATTATATCTTTAAGCATCATCTTCTTTTAGTATTTTCTTAATTACCCATTTTCCCATCGCAAAACTTCACAAAAGTCACTAGCATTTGTCGGATGTTGACAGCGGACAACGTAAACGAAACAAAATGTGGCAAAAAGCGCGAAACAAAACTACGGAAGGTCATATACCACGTGTGGTGTATAACTCATATGTATTCAACTGTCTGCATGTGTATACAATGATCTGAGAGTGGAATAACAGAGCGTATTGTGGTTGAAATACATATATTAAATTGTACACTTCCTACAGCAAAGTAAACACAATTGCTGAAATGAAAATGTTGTATAAGTATTGATTTAACGAGATATCAATACATGTATCTGTTTAATTGTGTTTTAGAATGTGGACCCGGGTTGTATGACACTGACTGTATTTTTAGCTTTTCTCTCTGTCGATCATTAAACCTGTTTGGTGATAGACAAGGGTACGTTAATTAAGTTGTATGTGTTAACAGTTTTATTTTCTGGTCGCTGTGGCCTTTAATTGATTGTCGTACAGTGTATATATGGATGGAGGCAAATGAGATACTAATGGTTCCTCATTATTTCTGATTTCGTCAAATATTATTTAGTAAGTGCATTACGGCATTGGACATTCTATCTAATGCATCATTTGTAAAGCCATGGTCCGTTTAGAGGACGACTTCTATTATGGACTCTATTTCAATACAAACTTGTTAAATTTTACATTTTTAATATTTCTTGATTATCTAAAGGCAAAACAATCTGAATAACTCATTGATATTTCTGGACTTTAGAGTTGAATTTTCCGGGGTAACTTTTAATATAATTTGTTTTGATAAATGGCCGGATATTAGAGAACTTAATTTAAATTGGAAAAAAAACGTTAGCCCATTTGATTTGATATTAGGTGTAATGTACTAAATGAGACGTATGTGTAATATATGAAATATGTGTATTGTAGCATGTGACCCTGGTTTCTTTGGACACAATTGCAATATGTCATGTTCTGGTCATTGTGACAATGATGACTGCCATCAGAACAACGGAACGTGCATAGGTACAGTTGACATATCAATAACGTACAGAGTATTTTTTTCTCAAAGTATCTATGGCTGAGCTATTAATCATGCATAGAAAGATAGTTTAATGTGTAAGATTCAAATTATCTATTATTATTGTAAAAAGACAATGAATCATGTACATTTTGTTTCATTTCTTTATCGTCAATTATCATCAAAATATTTCACCTGCAGTATCTTATTCGTTAAAAAAATTATGTTTACTTCAAAGATAATTTCTAAAAGCTTCGCAATTTTTTAATCCATTTCATTAGATATTATGTTTATTATTACATACCCGAACTCAATATTTGTATACAATGACACTACCTCGATTTGTATTATTAGCTTGTACGAGTGGATATTTTGGAACTGACTGTGAAGAGGAATGCGGGCAGTGTAGTGATGTGTCATGCAGAAGGTCTGTCGGACAATGCTTATGTCGCGACATGACAAACGGGACATGCGGGTGTAACAATGGCTGGGAAGGAGAAAAGTGCACTACAAGTATTTTGTTTTTATGTTGTTTCCTTTTTAATTTCAAAACAAATAACTGATGATATTTCACTCAGTTTATGTAGATTTTGTTTAAAAAAATACATAATATGAAAATAATGAAACCATAATAGAAATTGTCAAACATATTTCATATATATTGAACGAGAAGGGGTTATCAGCACACCTGTGTTCATTTCAGAAAAGGTGTTTTCAGTCTCAGACGACCAAACAGGAACGTACGCTGGGGCTGGTGTTGGAGCAGTGATTGTGATTGTTCTTGTTGTTATAGCAACTGTCATCATCCTTAGAAGGTATGCATTCAGGGTAATTGTATTTTAAACCTTGGCGGATGCTATTTTAATATTTATTGCTAACATATTGATTGCTAACATATTTTGTTTCATGTCTGTATCGTTAGGAAACGATTACCAAAACACAAACAAGAACATAACCTTGAAGGCAGAGACAGGACGTTTGAAAATGTAGAGTCCTTACCAATCCCATTTGAAACATCAGACAAGCCATCAAATAGTGGAGGTAAGTGTTATACATATAGGCTTCCTTATATTACTTTCTTTTTATTATAAGTCATCGTTGTGTTCCATATATCAGCGTATTTGTGTATACAGCGTGTGGAGGTAAACAGCACAAGTATATTGTGTTGTAGCTACGGAAGAGAGGACTATTAGTGTCACACTGTCATGTTTGATTGACACTTAAATGTTTACTATAATCAAAAGTGGATTATTTTAGAAAGATATGTATTATACGTAAAGGGATATTGATAATAGTAAGTAAGTACGATACTTTCCACAAGTTTCCATTTTTTCTTCAATACATATGTTTGATATTTAAGATACTACAAGTGAAGACAGACAGGTTTACGTGAACGTACATTACATTGACCCAAAACCTGATGATGACGTCGTGTATAACAACGTTGACGTCACTGGTGTCCCTATTCATGAACTGCGGTCTATCATCGATAGCAAAATCGTAAATGAAGCGGCAGCATTTCAAGAGGATTTTCAGGTATGGATGCATGTGTACATCAACCTTTGATGAGATATTAAATATCAATATCGAGCAGCAATAATAGCACATCATTACATAAGGAAGGAATTAAACGTATCCTTAGGGTTGATTCTTAAAAACATTGAACACGCTCTATTTCTACTGGTATCAAGCAAATATACATTTCATGATTTTTTTTTATATATATTATTATATTTTACTTAATAAATACATTGCTTTTAGACTTTTCCAAGGGGAGCCGTACATCCGCACGAGGCAGGTAGAAAGACATCAAACACACCAAAGAACAGATTCAAGACAATTTTCCCATGTAAGAAACTGTTTATTTCTGTTCCATATCGATACTCTTTACAAAAGCAGATTTATAATCTTAATCAGTTAAACTACTTGGACATAGTACGTAATAAATGACAATATATAAAGAAGCCCTTGATGATTTCACACATATTGTGTTTAGCATACATTTGTTTACATGTAAGTATATAATTATATTGCAGATGACCATTCCAGAATCCTTCTAGATACAATCGGCAAGGACATCGATACCAGCTATATCAACGCAAATTATATCGATGTAAGTATGTAGGCCGATAAATCGAGCTTTTTATATTGATTGTAACATACCTACAGAAGCAATACTTATAGTTCTGTGAAGATAATTGTTTTTCATTTGTTATATGTGTTCGACGACATGGTATTGAAAAGCTATAAGGTAACCAATGTGGTTAGAATTGATAATTGAAATTCATCTAGACAACCTGATATAAAGATAAACTTCACATTCAATTTTAATTACGGTACTTAAAAAATAAAAATAAATAAAGAAATAAAACAAAATGCATCATTTTTACTGCACAATGTATAATAAATTGTATTCATGTTATATTAATTACAATAATATATTGTATTCATCTTTTTCAGGGTATTGAAACCGAAAAAGCGTACATTGCTTGTCAAGGTAGTATACAATACATATCAATGCATTTGTTTATGTTATTATATCCTATCAACTGAAAAAAAA